GGGGATTTTTGGTTTGTCTTTTTTTTTAAATAGTCCAAGTTCTTGACTGACTTTTTTCTAATTATTTCCCACAATTTTAGGTAGTGCAACTGAACTGGAGAATTTAAATTCTTCATTTTGGTTTTGGTTTTCAAGGAGTTGTAGTCTCATTTCCTCATCTTCTCATATGTGTTTCCTAACTGAGCCAGTGTCAGACCTTCACGATTAAGACAACTAATTTAATCATTAGTGTACATGCTAATGTACAAAGCAGTGTGGAGGGAAGGGGAGGTTAGGGAAGTCTGTCTCCTATTTGCATTAATTACCAGACACCTGGTTAGGCTTCTAGACATTTTCCAGGCTATCTCAGCACTTTCCAGGGCTTGTGGGGGACAGTGGGAACCACGGTGGGGTCTCCCCCTGGAGCAGGAGAGGCTGCTTTAAGTCCTGGAGTGTTATCACAGAATCTCACCAGAAGAATTCAGTCGGGAGCCTGACTTTGCTGAGAGGCCCTCCAGGTGGCAATGCAGACAAACTAACAGGTCACAGGGACAGCTTGGAAATACTGAACTGAATGGACCTAAAGTTTAGATTACTAAAGTGGTCATTTTATTTGTGTTTAATATAAATTATCCATCATTTGGACAGGACTGATAAGTTTACTTAAATAACAACTGGGCACAAAAGAAAAGGGATTAATTTGGTCTGTGTAATTCCATTAGCATTGTTAGTTACTAAGATTAGAACATTCAGATATGTGTTAAGAAAATCGTAACACCTAACATTTTAAAGACACTAAATTTAGTCACTTTGATTTTTACAATTGGTGCTTCATTCTCTGAAGTCATGCATATTAGTAGACACTTATTCATTGAAGAATTAATAAAAAATTACTACTTTCTATGATTTCATATTATTTATACGAATTTTACAGAGTTAAAAATATGCTTATAGTTATAACAGATGGAGACAGAACTTCTAAGTGAGTCAAAAATATCAAACATCAGGAAATAAAAGACAGCTGATATGTTTAAAACTGGAAATTTTTCAGACAACAAAATTCAGTGTGTATATATATTGCAAATTATATATTTATCAAAAAACTCCGACTGGTGATGTTTCATGTCCTAATTCATAATCTTTAACTTGCAAGAAAGCCAAAACCAAAGTCTTAGTAAGGAAACAAAAACTCAACCCTAAGTTACATGAAAGCTTTGGATAAGATTTTTGTCTATACTTGCTACAGAGATGTTGCAACAGCAAACAAAAATGAAAACAATCTCCCAGTGCCAACCTACAGGAATGGATTACTTAAATTACTGTTATTTTTTGATTATGTGCAAAAGTGATTAACTTCTGCAAAATGTCTCTATGTCTATTCCTTAGCATACCAACCTGGTAAGATTGGTTTGTCAGGGAAAAGAACTTCAAATGGGCTTAATCATCTCAATGAGACTTACTTGCCAAGTGCACTGATTTGAAGCTACTTGGAAACTTTTTTCAGAAAGAAAGCATCTTCAGGAGTTTTATGAATGTATATCTGATTTCTTAAAGAATATTTGTTTCAACCTTATCCACTATCTGTTTGAACTGTACTACTAAGTTTTTGCATGAGAGGAACAAATACCTGAGTGGACAGTTTGAATTGGTTACTCGGTTAATATTGATAAACCTCCACACCACTTTTCTGATTTGGAGATGCATTGGGTTGTAGTTTTTTGGGGTTTTTTTTTCTGCTGAGTTACAAAATTTAGGATTTATAGCTGAAGTTCATTACATGCATTTCATTTTTCTTGATATATTGTACTTGTTTATGTAAATTTATTTGTTTGCATTTCACTCTTATTTGTAGTTCCATGCCACAGTGTTATTCTATCTATGCATAAAAACTTTAAAGGAAATGTTATTGACATATATGTTTTGGGGTTTTTTTTCTGCATTCATTAATATGAGTGCTGCTTCAGCTAAACATTCCATAAAAAATATACACAATAAATCTTTTGAGACAGGTTACCAGGCCACACAATTATTTACAGAAACCATACAAATGCTCCAAGGGGTTATTAATTTTTGCAAATTAAAAAAAAAAAAGACAATAATTCAACTATAATGCTGTGTAATTTAGAATCTATTCCTTCTAGAAAATTCCATGGCACACTCTAGGCTACATTATTCACTTCAGAAACTCTCATATGGAAAATCTAGTTCTATCTAGCAGTATGCTATTAAATTATAACAAGAACATAAAGAGAAACACTTGTTTATGCACCCATGAATTTTAGGAACTGTAATCCCATTGTATGTGTACTTCTTTGAGTGTCACCATGGCTTCCATGATCTTTCTGTTGTATATAGTGTTGTAGATTTTCTGATTTTATTACAGACTGAAGCTTAGCACAGTACTTGAGGAAATATTTTACCTTCTGTTGTGTTCTGCAGGCTTTTTGGGACAAAATATTTGTATGTTTTCTTATCACTGTAGGAACCAAACTTGTTTCCAAAAGTTCTTCCTGTCATGTTTCTGATATCCTAAACTCCTGTACATTTATGTTCCTTGTTGTGGAATTGATATAGGTAGTGGATTTCTAGAGTGGGTGTATATAATGTTCTCATCACTATAATAACTGAGAAGGATAACAATCCAAGTTCCAACCTGATCCATCATGTTCCCTTCACCTACAGGGGACTTGTAACACTCATACTTGTCCTTTAATGCCCTAGTTAGAGAAAGTTACATCCTACCTGTAAGCTCCTCATTTGCAATTCATTCTCTGTCTGTCCAGTATTTTATTTTGGTTTGGTTTTTGGTCTTTTAACACAGCCTGAGTTTGTAGTTACATTTTTCTGCTAGGCTTTCAATGACATACCGATATAAAGTAAAGGTATCATTTTTTCCCTATGTAAAGACAACATATCACTTATAAAGCAGTTTAATGATGTGAGTATGTAAATACTTAATAGTGTTTTCATTGGCTAAAATTCTTTCTGACCTTTTTGCCCCATAATTCATTTGGGTGTGTTACCGCTATCCAGATATTCATAGATTTGGTCCAATGTGAGCTGTCCAAGACAGGAAGTGGGTATTTGAGGGGTGAGAGTCTCATACAGTAGTAGTAGCATGTAGTTCCTACAACACATGGAATGCCAGGCTGAGTAACGAGATAAAGTGATTGAAGAGGGAAGAGCTAAAACCAGCAGGGGGTTGTTGTTTATTTTAAGGCTGTTGCCAGTGCAATTTTTGGTGCAAGAGCAAGATGTCAAGTGTAACAATGGAAAGAAAAAAATGAAAAGAGACAACTATGAAGGGAGTCATAATCATCAATCATCAGTGTTTGAGGAGCATTTTCCTTAGGAGAGCAGCAAAAATGAAGTTATGAGAGTTCTACTGCTGTTGTGGGGAAGAGGCAAGTGGGCTTTATAGGTTTATTTGTCATGTGTCCCAAGGGCCTATCTTTTAAACTTTTCTAAGCTTAACAGGGGTTTTATACCAACATGCAGATGTTGCTGACCTGCTAGCTTTTTGTTATCTCTTTAACATTAGGAAGATATTACTGACTCAATACGAGTAAATAAGCTTCCTTGTGCTGCTCTTCGTCTATGAGACAAGAGCTGATTCTTTCTGAATGGTGCTTCTTCCACCATATGTTGGCCTTGGCAATGGCACATTGCAGGTCTTCTCTTTCCTCTGTATGGCAACCAAACATTCCTTGCATTTGGAGCTTTTTTGAGTGAGTGCTGGTAGAGTGGTTTGCCTGCTTACTGTTTCTTGAGAAATAGGAATTTAGTCTCAGTCCATAAAAACATAGAATCAGTTAGGTTGGAAAAAATGTCCTAGGTCCAGGGTCATGGAGGCCAACTGTTAATGCAGCGCTGCTAAGTCCAACACTAAACCCCATCTGTAAGCATCACATACACCATACACATATCTTTTAAATACTTCCATGGATGGTGATTCCACTGCTTTCCTGCGCAGGCTGTTCCAGTGCTTGAAAACCCTTTTGGGGAAGACATTTTTCCTAATATCCAATCTAAATCTCCTCTGGCACAGCTTGAGGCCATTTCCTCTTGTCTTACTGCTTGTTTCTTGGGAGAAAAGACTGATCTCATGCCTTACTACATCCTCCTTTCAGCTGTAAAGATCAATAAGGCTCCCCCTGAGCCTCTTCTTCCTCCAGACAAAACAATGCCAACTCCCTCAGCTGCTTCTCTTGGGACTTGGGCTCCAGACCCTTCACTAGCTCTCTTGCCCTTCTCTGGACTCACTTCCATACCTCAATGTTTTTCATGTAGAGAGGAGCCCAAAACTGGACACAGAATTCAAGGTGTGGCCTCACCAGTGCTGTGTACAATCACTGCCCTGGTCCTGCTGGCCTCATTGTTGCTGTTACGTACCAGGATGCCATTGGCCTTCTTGGCTACCTGGACACACTGACAGCTCATATTCAGCCAGCTGTTGAGCAACACTTCCAGGTCATTTTCCACTGCGCAGTTTCCAGGCACTCTGTCCTCAGCCTGTAGCACTTTCTGGAGTTGTTGTGACTCAGGTGCAGGCTCTGGCACTTTGCTTTCTTGAAGATTCACCTCATACAGTTGGTCTCATCCCATTAATCAAGCATGTCCAGATCCTTCTGCAGAGCCTTCCTGCCTTCAAGCAGATCAAACACTGCCTGTGATCTTGGTGTCATCTGCAGAGAGACAGAGGGTACACTTGGTCCCCTTACCCAGATAAAGATATGGAATGAAATTGACCCTGTCTGAGACCTAAGGAACACCACTTGTCACTGTTTACAAGCTGGATATAACTGCACCATTTTTTTTGTGACCAGTCATTCAGACAGGTGTTTTTGCCAAGAAAAGAGCGTGTCTGTCTAAGACATGAGCAGCCAGTTTTTCCAAGAGAACTCAATATTTATGCCAGAACATTCCCACTCAACAACAAAGCTGTAAATTTCCATCTGATTATATCAGCTGGAGAATCAGCATTATTGTGTACTGTTAAACCTGTGTGTTGTTTTGCCTAGTTGCCAGTATATAAAAAGAATTGTATTAGACTTGCTGGACCAGATGAGCTCAACTGGACTCAAGAGAGGAGGGGCTGTTCTTGGAGGCTTCTCAGGTACTGCCTTCCCAAAAGTTGTCAAGTTGTCAGGTTTTTACAGGGTAGATGTCTGCAATAGAGTAGGATGTCTTCATACAAGGTTAAATGTGTGTTTAACAAAGATAAAGTCGAGTATGATGCAGGCACATCAAGGATTTGTAATAAGACATGATCTGCAGGAAAAGAACCCATACAGAAATAGCCAGTTAATTTTGATTAATAAATCTATTGGATAAGATTTTTGTGTAGCAGAGGGGATGGGATGTATTGAACAAAATTATTTTTTTAAATCTAAACAAAATGTATACCTTACATAAATGCAGCAAAGCTTTTTGTGGAGATCAATCATTTTCAACTGCTTTTTCTTAAATGATAAAACACCCAAGAATGCATACTCAAATCCAGAGTTAGATTTTTAGGTTGCTAATTTCTTCCTCTCCTTGTCTCAGTAATAGGATTCAGTTGTATCAATCCCACATGAGTCTCTGCATTTTGACAAAGTAATGATAGATATATGTCTTTACCATTATTTCCTAATTCCAGATATATGTGTCATACTACAAATTTTATTTCATTTTTAATGAACTACACATTCTGCACAATTCCCTGGTTAAAGTTTTACCCCATCAGAATGGAGCACTTATTTGATTTGGTTTTTAAATTATGTTTCAGTATAGTACTTCATAAAGAGAATACAGGGTTGTGGAGATAAAATCATTAATATAGGTCTAATTGGTTTTGCATATGTCTTTTTACTCTAAAATTGTTCAGCTATATTAAAGATATATAAATAAATGCTACTTCTTTCTATCTCACATTTTTCAGACAATTATATTTCAGTACTGAGTATAAATTCACATAGGAATGAACAGAATTCATAAGACTGACAAACCACTGGCAAAATTACAAAAACTACGAAGAATAAATTTTTCACTTTTCAATTATTACCTGTTCTTGTTATGAATGTGTGTGGGAGAACAACTTAACAAGAAGTCCATTCAAGGCCTGTTTTGGAAACCAAATACCATCAGAAAGTGGCCTTTACCATTGTTGCAGCCTTTGGAAGATACTAGGTCCAGCTCACCCTGTGTGGCTGAAGAGGACATCTAGGAGTCACTCCTCATGTTCCAGTTGCTCAGTATTTTAGCATGGCTCATAGCCCAATGAGCACAGTAAAGCAAATTGATCCAGTTTCTCATTTGTGGATTAACACCAGCCCTGTGAGAGAGTCCTACTGAAAGCTGCTAGATACAGATAGAACAAACCTATGTATCTAAATTATTTAATTGTGTGGGTTTATTAATGAAAAATTCATGGTTGTCTGTTCAGAAACACAGTATCTGTGTTCAGAATTTTTTGGTTCTTCTTCACTTTTGTCTCTGTTCCTAAATACTTTTACATAAAACTGTAGACTGCATTAAGTTTTTTTTTAATCTGTAGGTAGCTTGCTCATTTCTTTTTCTCTGATTGGCAGCAGGTGGAGGTGCTTTTAAGTAACTTTTTTAACTAGTTAGCTTCTCCTTTATTCAAAAATAAAGGAGCTGTTCTCTGATGGTATCATTATGAAATCAGTAGTAAATTCCTTAGATAGACTAATCTTGTGGTATCTGACAGTATTTTCTTTAACAATCATAAGACTCAAAGCCATATTCCAAGTTGTCTGTACTAGTGTCTCCTCAGATTCCATTATCTGTCATCACTGCAGATGTACCTATGATTTTTCTATAAGATTATCTTATTGCTGAGCTATTTTACTCATTTGGACATCATTTTTTAAAGGTGCGATATTGTTCTCATTGCTGAAAAAAAATGGATTTCTTTCAGATTTTCAGGCTTAATGCTGTATTTTTAATGTGTGTCCTCCTGTAGACTTCTGTAAGATTATTTTTTAAGCATGCAGGCTTACACAAAAAAATAGTGTGTTTGTATAGTACTGCAGAAAAAATGATGTGGCTGATATGAAACTGCAAAAAGCTTCTAGTCTGAGAGAGCTTGAAGGGTGTAAATAAGGAGGATAATTTCAGTAAATATGAAAGGATTCATTATTAATGAGTTCAGGAGTAGAAAAAAATTTAAAGGGCTAGCAGAGCAAAATATTTCAAATAAGTAAAGTAAAACTAGAGATAAACATATTACCTAGATTAATTAGTCCTCAGAAAAACCTCTTTGATTCTTAATGAACAGTTGGCAATTGTTTAATTCTTACTTTTAAATAGGTAGTTAGATACTGATTTTTATTGTTGCAAAGGGATGCTTTATGTTGGGCAGACACCTGACTTTGTCAATTAGTTTGGAGAAAAAAATGGATGATTGCTCACTTTCTAACTGCTGGAGTATTAGTTTCTATTTTAAATATAATGGTACAAGAAATCAGAAAGGTCAGGCACTGGTGCTTTTGGAAGTGCAATACATGAGTCACAAAGGAGTAAGACATGGTAGAATCAAGCTCTAGTGTATAATACAGGGAGCGAAATTCCCATAACACCTTTCCCTGTTTGAAGAGTTTTAGGCAAGGTGTAGCTTAGATACAGAAGGTTTTTTTCTGAATTCGTGACAAGCTCAGACTTGCTGGCTTGGTCAAGTGAAACCACTTTCTTCCTCTCATTCTTTCCTAGAAGGATTCATCCATGATCCATCTTGCTGGTGGTTTCTATCTCTCAGAGGGGAGCAGAAGCCTTTATGGCTAAGCTATGAGATCACCACCTACAGAAGATCTAACTTCTTATCCTTACGCTTTAGAAATATTTTATCCTCCATGTTGGACTTGGCTCCACCACCTTGGAAGCTTCTCTGGTTTGAAGGAGCGCTCAAACACTCAACAATACCTTTGTGGAAGTGTTAAGCCAAAGCTATTGCTCTGTACTGGCTAGGAGAGCAGCTTGAGAGTCTTTTAGAGCAAGAATATTGCAATGTCCTTTGATCCCTGAGCTGATGTAGAAAAAAGTGTCTGGTGTCTAGGTAGCAATCAAGACATAAAACCGAAAAAATGTGGGGGACTGAATGTAAGTGAAAGGTCTTGAAGGTCTTGATGAGGAATTGGGTGGAGAGGAATTGCTCTGAGGAAGAGTGGTCAGTGGCTGTTCAAGAAGCCTGGTGTGTGAGCATCATTCAGAAGGAGAGAATTCCTTTTGTGGAGAGAATGCCCTTTTGATTGTCTGTTGGGAAAAATGGCACTTTTATAGAGCTATTCTTTCCCAAAGCACTTTCCCAAAGATTTTGCAGACATCAGTATTCATCTTCTTACTTCCCTTGTTGATAGACAGATGTTTTTCCACTTCAGAGGAAAAAAGGCTGTAACAGGAGGGACAGGCACTGACTGCAGGTAGCAAACAGGTGTGCAACTATGAATGAGATGGATAGAGCTGTCCTCATAATAAGCAAATAAGCTTGTGAGCTGTAAGCTTAACTCAGAGTGCTTCTGCTGATTAATTAAGCAATGAATAACCATTAAATCCAGGAGGTTTGCAGTCTTATATATGTGCTGTTCTGCTATTTACTTATCAGCTATACCTATCTGCTATACAGTTTCTACTTATTAGTTCCATTTATTTACTGTGTTTTAACTCGACTAATTAATCACATTTAAGAAATACTTATGTAAAATTTCAGAAGGTAGAACTGGAGGAAAGTGTTCAATAGTGGCAGTATAAATGTTTCAAGCCAGCTATGTAACCTGTCCAGAACAGAAACAGAGACTTTTGACCAAGTGTATCCATGAAAGGATCTTTGTACATCAATATGTATAGGCAAAAAAAATGGCTGCTATGAATACAGTATCATAAGCCTCATTCTAATGTAATTTAACTTCAATTAAATTTGTGAGGTAGCTGATGTAAATACAGTTCAGGGTCAAATCAGTTTATAATATAACTTTGCATAAGTGTTTTTCTTTGACTTCAGAGTTACACTGGGGATAACTATGGCCCTGCAATGCAAAATCAAATCCATATTGTGACAATCAGCCTACTATCTGTTGGAAGAAACAAATCTTTCTAGAAAATGCATGGGATATACGTATTTTATATATCCTTTGGAATGTCTATATATGTATATATTTATATTCATAAAGATATTCCCTTCTATGAATGATATTTTTTTAACAGTTAAAAATTCTCTGCTTTCATATCTAGGGTGATTATCCTGATCACTAAATTTCTGCTCAAAATGAGAAGATGGTGAGCACTAGCACATGCTTTCACATTTTCAGAATTTGAAATCCAGAAAAAAAAACAGTTTTGAACACTTTTAGTGTTTAGACATTCAGTACCTGTGCTGCCAAGGTTTATTGAAAGCAGCTGGATGCCTGCCTCTGTCCTCCCCCTTTCTTGGAACTACTGCCAGCACAGGTAGTCAGAAATGGAAAGCAGAGAAATATTTGAGCATCTGTGCTCTCTCCTGCTCTCTCTCTCTCTCTCAGGAAAACATCTGTGACTTCCATAGGAAGCACTTCTTTTTTTCCATCAGCAAAGACTCTGGATACCCTTGGGTCCAGTTTTGGCACAGCAAGCCAAGTAGGATGCAGTTTATGGCTTAAAACTTATGAGAGAAATCATTCAGGCAGTCCCATCCCTGGCAGAACACTGAGAGAAATTCCCCAGGCTGCAAGCCACATGTGGGTCTCTGACCTTTTATTAGCTCACCATGGGAGAGGTTAACAATTGTTGAGACTTCAGTCCTCCCTTTGACAAACAAATACAACAATACCAAATTGCCTTTCCAAGATGAGCATATTCAGGGCACAACATGCTTTTTAATGCAGGGTTCAATGTAGGGGGGAAGAAACCCCAAAACAAAAACCCAACCCAAAAACTTAGAACTAGAATAGGATATGTTGCTATAAAACTGAAGCCTGGATTGCTGTTTTTTCCAACACTCGGCTATTGTTCATATTACTTTGATTTGTGAATTTTTAAAAGGAATATAATCATGAGACAGAAAGAAATTCTCACACCATTTTTAGCTCTTCATGTGGTCAGTGCCATGATTTATGGAACTAAGATTGCTCAATAGCTGGAGCA